ATAACTTACAATGGATGTAGATATTGTTTAACAACAAACATCATATTTGAAATTACCGATTATTCTCAATGTAGAAACTGCAAGAGAAAAACAATTATTAATATTGATACATCACTTATAAGCAGGGTGAAACAATACTATAAATGAGTTTATTCTCAGTACAAAATTTAATAATATTGATAACATGAAAATTACTGTGGAAAACTTTGAAAAAACATATGTATATAAAGCTTTTACAAAACAAATTTTTTCACGTTCAGCAATTAAATGGATTTCATTTTCTAAACTTAAAAATTTAGAAGAATTTGCACAAGGGGGATTTGGCATTATTTATAAAGCAAATTATTTAGGTAAAATATTTAAATTTCGTAATAACAGTTCAAATAACGAAAGTAAAGTTAAAATCGTTGCTATAAAAAGGTTTTTAAATTCAGAGAATATTAGCCAATCTTTCTTGAATGAGGTAATAATTCAATACTCTATATCTGAAATGTTATTTTATTAATAATCTAAAATAATCTAAATGATATTATTAGTTAAGATCAAATCATCTTTGTTTTTCTGATCAAAAAGTTAATCGTGTTATGAGATGTTTTGGTATTACAAAAGATCCTGAAACGAACGATCTTATGTTAGTAATGGATTATGCATCAGGAGGTGATTTACATAATTATTTACAAAGAAATTTTACCAACTTAACATGGAATAAAAATAATTCAAAAGGAAAATTATCTATTTTATGGCAGATTCTAGATGGGTATTTACATTTTATTTATTTATATTGGTTATATTTATTTATAATTTATCTTACTAATTATTTTGTAATGTTAGACTCGAAACTATTCATAATAAAAATCTTATACATCGAGATATGCATAGCGGAAACATGTTACTTGTTAAAGATAATGAAAGAATTTATCAATGGCAAATTGGAGATTTTGGATTATCACGACCTGCAAATAATACTTCAATAAATAATGAAATATATGGAGTAATTCCTTATATAGCACCAGAAATATTTCATGGTGCTTCATTTTCAAAAGAATCTGATATTTATAGTATTAGTATGATTATGTGGGAATTTACAACAGGATGCAAGCCTTTTTCTGATGTTGAACACGATCATAAACTTATTTATGATATTATTGATGGAAAACGACCTAAAATTACGGAAGATACTCCCGATTGTTATGCTAATTTAATGAAAAGATGTTGGGATCCTGATCATTTAAAAAGACCTCCTATAAAAGAAATCCGTAGAACTATTGGCAGTTGGTATCGCGGAAAAAAAGATGATGAGCAATTTAATCAAGCTGAAAATAAACGAATGGCATTAATTGGATTAAAGAAACTTAGTCCTGAATTTACTGAAAAGCATCCAAAATCAATCTATACAAGTCGAGCATTTTCTAGATCTTCAATTCAATCACTTATTAAATCACATAATATGAAGCAAGGTATAGACTCTAAGATAGTAAAAGTTTATAAAAGTTAAATAGTGTGGGTTTTAATTTATCCGCCCATTATTATTTTTTTCTATTTTTACACTAGGATATATTTCAAAGGAACGTGAATATGATATAAATAATCAAAGGTATTGTAAATTATAATTATCAATATGGTTTCTATTCATTTTAAATAATAAATAATTTATAAAGTATAATTAGTTCGTCTTTAGCAAATAAAAATTATAATATATTATCATCTAATATGCAGTATCAAGATGAAGGTACGTTAATATATTATTAAATGATAAAAAATTTATGAAAATACAGTTTATGCCAATTAAGTTTAACTAATTATTTGTTTATTTTGAATTTTTATTCATCAGAATATACTTCTAAAGAATTTGAATTTGATATTTCTCGGTATTATAATAAGATAAAATCTTATAATTGTCTTATAAATAAAGAATTGTTAATATAAAGATATTTTTAATTATAGCCAACCTGCAATAAATGTAAATTTTACAACTCAAAATACTTCAAATACTCAGCATCTATGTGGAGCTCATACAAGTATATTAAATTCATTTATTTCATCCGTGAAATCTTTAAGAAAACATGATATTGAAGAATCAGAAATTAACTCTCAAGTTAATAATAGTAAGTAAGAAATTTTATTATTCACATGGCTGAGTACATTATAATACTAATTTATTGTAATCATTTTAGTAAAAAGAAATAAAATAAAATAATAAATGAAATCAAGATATTTTCTTTAATGGAAGATATTTAATTAATGATATATACAGTAAGTTGATTAATTTATCCATTCAATTATTTATATAAAATTATTTAATTGATTTTTTTTTTTAAATTATTGAGTATTAATTAATAAAAATTTTAACCATTTTAATAAAGCAACAAGTGTTCCGATAGAACCAGCTTTTCTGGCGTAACCAAGTTTATTACAGTCAAAAGATATGGTCTTAAAGCAATACAATCCGTGCATGTATGTTTTTGAAACTCCTGGTGGAATAAAATATAAAAAATTAGTCTAAATTAGGATTAACGTTAATGCTCTACCAAAGAAAATAAATAAACTTTGAAATATAATTGATATTAATTTTATTATAATGAAAGGTATAAATTTTTTTTATATAATACTCTAATCTTTTAAACAAAGATGTTTTAGTAACTGGGCCAAATGACTTAAATTTTCAAAACTTATTCAAGACAACATATAACCCTTTATTATTTCCTTTTTAATTCTAGTAAGATTATAGCATGTATAAATCCTCCTGTATTATTATCAATTTCGATTACTAAATAATTTTCAAATTATATCGATCATGGATTTGTTAAAACGAACTTTATATCTATCCATAGATATATTCATGCCACCTTTATGTTTTAAACATTGATATGATAAAGAATACGATTAAACAAATCAAAACATGGATTATTTAAAATAACATTTCTGATGGACATTTAAATGATGAATAAGTAACCAATTTAGCTAATTGTTATAGTAGTATGGTAATATAAATGGAATATTTAGTGAAAGTTTAAAGATAGCAAATCTGCACCGCATTTACTTTGTTTTGCCTTTTAAATTTTATTTTAAATAATACATTAATTATTATCAAAATTGTAACCTATTTGCGAAGACTATTAGATTATTTGATTATTAGTCCCATGATTATTATTATCAGATGTGTTCCGTTTAAGTTTTTTACGTAGAAATAAAACTATTGTTAAAAATATAATACCACAGAAAAATGATCCAATAATTGAACCGGCTAAAACACCACTCGTTTTCAGACATGGATGTTCATATACTGTTGGTGTTATTGTTTCATTACTTTTACTTTTTATTGGATCTTCCCCCTAAATTAAAAACGATTAATTTGAGAAATTTGGAAGATAGCATATGGCTTAAATCTACTATCTGCTCATAAATGAATTGAAAAATAAGTTTTACCGAATAATTCATTAATACTTCTTTGGGAGTTAGACGATAGTTATAATAACGAAAATTGCTAATTATGAAATAATAACCATTTAATATAATTTGTACAAAAAATTATTATTAAGCTTTATATATACCTAATTTGTCCGGTAATTGCATCAAAGTTGTCACGTCCAATATATAACGGTGCATCATTGAATGAGACTTTCTGAATCTGAACAAATATGATACTTAAATATCCAACCCATTCACCATCAATATAAAAATCCATCCGCTTTTCAGAATTTGAGAGTGTGTATGCCATATGATACCATCGGTTAAGCAAAAGCCCATCACCAATCGATTCAATCCCAAAATTATAATTATCGGTTATTGAGAAACGTGGATGTGCGTGTGAAGTATTTGGTGTCAGAAAGAGTGAAGGGGTACGTCCATTTACTCCTCCTAAAATAAAAAACAAACTTACATATCACATATAGCTGCAGAATTTTTCAAAGATAAATATTTAGGAAACGAGAACTGTTGTGCGATCTTGACACTTTACAAAATCGGAGATTTCATTGGTTTAAGATCACGTGGGCGGACAGAGAACGCAATAATCACGTGACCTAAAATTTTTCATAGCGCATAGACGTATATTGTCCTTCGCTTCGCTCCGGACAATTAGTATTCAAATGTAAAATACCTTTATGAAAAATAGTAGCCCAAGAAGGACCATGTGCCGCAATATTTACTTTTAATGTTACTGACAATTCATCTTTTACCGACGGTAACTCCGAATGGTTGATAATTCGATTATCCTTAGGCGTGAGTGCAATTGGTTCTGTAATTAATTCACGGTATGTTCTTTGACAGAAAACCAATAATGAATTATTAATGATGATTATTATCACTAAGAAATAATAATTCGATAATAAAATATTCATCATTTTGGTAGAATTATAAAAACATAAACACGCAAAAATGTGTTCTTAATTTATAAGGAGGCAAGCTTTATTGGAAATCCATTTTGTTTCACCAAGTAGTCGTGTCGTGTAATAAACAATAATTAATTACACTGCAAATATAGACTAATCTTAAGTCGATCTAGATTTTCATTTAGTCGCATACTTTATAACTTCAAAGATATACTTTATTGAATGATAAAAATTAGTTCTCTTCAGTATAAATTGCATGAAATCAAGGAAAAAAAATATCCGTGTAAATATTTCAGATAAAGGATGAACAATATTTATTAAAGTTAATACATATATAATTAACTATTATATCAAAATCTCGCTTAAAATTAATGTAATTTACAGATATACAGTATAATGAATTTACGAAGCTTCATCTGTTTGTTTATTTGATTTCCTAAAGTCATCACCATATTTTTTTATAACTTGTTTCATGCCTTCATTAAGTTTTGTAGGTAATTCATAAATTGATTTTTCAACAAAGGCAGACACACCTCCTGGATATAAAGCGATAATTTCACCTATAAAGATAATAGAAAAATATTAAGACAATTCATTAGTAGAAAGAATGTAAACGATGATTTACCATTATAAGCTGGATTGGTGAAAAGTTTGATGAATGCATCAACAACTTTGCGCATTTCTACTTTATGATCGTCGGGAATTGTATGAATCACAGATTTCATCATTGGCGTATCTAAAAAAAAAAAAAAAAAAAAGTAAAAATTTTTTTCCCCTCAGAAAAAAAAAAAATGGTTTCTTAGATTCATCTTACCTACTGCTGATGGTGCGATCACATTTACGCGAATATTATGTACAGTTACAGTTAGTGCAACGGAAATCGATAAACCAACCACACCAAATTTTGAAGCGGAATAGATTGGAACAAGAGGAGAATTGAAGAGGCCGGCAATTGAAGAAGTATTAACAATAACTCCACCATCTTTTCCATTTTGCTTCAAAAATCGAATTCCGAGTTTTGTTCCATTAAGAACACCTTTTAAGTTTATGTCGATCATTTTTAACGCATTTGGGGCTAGAAAATCAAAAGTGGTGATTATTAAAAAGTGCTTTCATTTAAAAACTTTCAACTAATTTTTACGTACGTTCGTCTGAATCATCAAACAAGCAACCACCTTCTGCAAATATACCGGCATTGTTCACAATTATCTAAAATGAAAGATAAAATAAAATGGATTATAAACATCGTTAATGTTATATATAAAAAAAAAAATAAATAAATAAATATACCAAAGAAAGTGATTATACATCGACACGACCGTATACTTGTACGGTTTTTTTGAATGCAGCCAAATATTCATTCCAATTTGTTACATCGACGTGTTCATAAATGGCAACTGTCTCGGTTTTTCTATTTATCACAATGATACAAATGTAATATAAACAAAAGTGGAAAGTGACAATTGAAATTAATTTGTGTAACGAATACACTTACCCGGAATTGAGTTCTTCGACAAGCTTTTTACCGAGTTCATCTTGAATATCAGCGACGGTGACTTTGGCACTTTAGGTAAATTTAGTTAGTAAGGGATTTATTACCATTTATAAAATTAATTGTAAATCTCTTACCCTTCTTTAACTAGGCGAGTTACCACAGCTTCACCAATTCCAGAGGCTGCTCCTATTTTTTTTTTAAAAAAAAAAAAAATTTAATAAAAGAACTCAGTTTTCTAATCATATAATTGTAAATTATTTTGTAAATTACCGGAAACGAAGGCAACTTTTCACTCAACTGAAGTAAAAGACATTATTATTAAATACAAATGAAAAAAGATAAATCTTAAAATTTTAATTAAGAAACAACTTATATATATACGGTACGGTATATTCCGAATATTAGGGTTTAACCAACCATTCAACTATAAAATAAACTCGGCACCGATCAATGAATACTATGGCGCCTCGACAAACTGAGATTGATAATGTCAAATGCCGATCATATTGTTTGCCTGAATTTTCGAAAATATTTAAAACCTTAAATTTTGAGCATTACTTAAAATTAATAAGATTAATAAAGCAAAGTTAACGAAAGCGTGATAACTTTTAAAAATGAGACATCTGGCACTTTTGTAATAACGAAAAAAAAAAATACTATTAACAAAGGTACTTTAATAAGGCAAATTTTAAAATTTAATTTATTTACATCTGAGTAACTATATTTCGTACCACGAATATTTTTTAAAGTTTTAAAAAATTTATTGCATGATCTTTTTTTTTTAAAGAGCACAAAAATTGAGGTTCATTTTAAAATAGAATATTTTAACATTCATTTGCAAATAGATAAAATCACGATATCCAAAAACCCATATTCGAACAAAGAACGTTTCTAAAATTAATAATAATAATAATAAAAAGAAACTCCGAAAGAAGACTTAAATCTCAAAAGAGACAATGATTCCAATATTCGTTTGAATATTTTTAAAAAAAGTTTTAATATATGGAATACAAGTGAAGAAATATAAAAAAAAAAGGAAGGAAAAGTATGATATGACAGAGGCGAATCTAAATTTTACGACTGAACCTAATTTCAAAGATCACGTGAATTCAATAATAAATAAAGGTGATTCCATTTATTTGTTAAATCTTACTCATTTTTGAATGAATTTTATTCTGAAAATTACAAAACAAACAAATGAAAAACGAAAAAGTTTACTAATGATGGAAATCGAAAATCAACATAAATATTATACAGTTTATGACGTCTAAAAATTCTAGATTTCCATAGAGAAGGATATAATGGAACATGGTTCTTGTATATATATATTTTTTTCGATATTTCCCCTAAATGGAATGTTCGTAGTAGAAATCGCAACATATGATGCATAGTGGTGCGACTATACTTTATATATAAAGGTGAACAAGTATCAAATATCAAAAAGAAAAAAATTTTTTAGTCAATACAAGAAATATACCTTTTTCTTAAAGAAAAATATAAATAACGAAAAAAAAAATTTATTTCGCAACATACCAACCTAATAAGTTGCTCATTTCATGAATAATCTTTCATTTATAATTTCATTAATGTCAAGTTTTTTAATATATACAATTTACTTGAATTGGTCAATACAACTTGAATTTTTGTCAAAATCTATATTAAGCGAAATGTTGACTAATTATGGAAATCATCGTGTTATAAAGCCGATTGGAAGTGAAGCCATTATGGTTTACTTGTAAATTCAGAAACTGAATAAACCCTTTTACATATTAATTTCATATACAACATCTAACACATTTAACATATTTCATTGCTTCTAAAAAGTAAAAATAATCATTTTAAAAAAGTATTTATATATTATTTTCTGACTAAAAATCAGTTATTTTTCCTCTTCAAAAAAAAAAAAAATTATTTAATAAAATTAAGATTAATTAAATTTGCGATACAAAAAGTTAGCGTTATCGAAAAGAAAAAATCACGTTACGAATCATATGTTCGTAACTCGATTTTAATAGCAAACCTCCCATATAATTCGTTTTGAATTAATTTCTTCTTTTGACGGGATATCTAAAGAAAAGCAATCGAGAGTTCCATTATATTACGCATATCAAAAATTCAAGTGAATTTAGATTTCAAAATCTCCCTATACACTCATGAAATTCACCTTTCATTGAGTATATGAAAATTTACGCGATTTTAATTTGTGAAACATCGAAAAGATAATTTTATTTTTTTATAATCATAAACCATCCAAGCAAAAATTTGGTCAAAATTTAAAAATTCTTTGTATTTCATGAAGAGTCGACCAATCATTTTTGTTCGTAGTAAGGACAAGCCTTTTTTCGATATTTTATTGAGAGAAATGTAAAAATTAACTGGAAAAAAGCAAATGTGATTTGCAATAATGATTTTATGACGCAAAAAAAAACTATATAATACAAACTTTTAAGGAAAAACTTCGCATACGTGAATTCATTCATTTAAAAGTTGCATGATTCGATCATTTCTAGGAACAAGTTTAACATTATAATCTTCTGGCCAAATGGTTAAACCAATTATAGGCTTGTCCAAATTAATTGGAATAGGTTTTCCATCTTCACCATTAGGTGAAGCATTTTCAACTTTAAAGCAATAAAGAATACGTGCCAAAATAACAAATAATTCGGCTTCAGCCTAAAGGGAAAAATTATAATTTAAATTAATTACATTGGAATACTGTATTAAAGTATTTACAATTACTACAAACTATTTACCAAATAAACTCCCGTACAAAGCCTTCTCCCGGCTCCAAAAACAAAATGATCTCTTTTTTCAGCAGGTCCATTAGCCAAACTAGCCATACTTTGTTCATAATTAATAAATCTATAAGGATCGAATTCCTTAGCATTTTTATAACGTTGTTCATTGAATGAAATTGCGTGAGAATTTATAAACACTAAAGAGTTTGCTGGAATATGATAACCGTTATATTCATCATCTTGTTCATTATAATGATGAACTCCCAACCATGTTGGTGGATAAACTCTTTGACCTTCCCTAATTAACGCATGAGTGTAGGGAAGATTTTTAAAATCAGAATAAGTTGGGAGTCGATCATGTTTAGGAATGAGAGTGTCAAGTTCATTATGAGCTGGTTCTTGGAACGAGGGATTATTGGCCAAGAACGCTAATAACCATGTTATACTTGATGCTACTGTATCCTAAAATACAAAAAAAATAAATATTTCAAATAATTTATTTTTTTTTTTAAAAAAAAAAAGGAAAAGGAAAAGAACATTTAAACTACCATTCCAGCAAAAACGAGACTCGCTAAAAGATGAGCAATTTGATAATCCTCTAATTCTCCTTGTTCATAAACTTCTCTCGCAGTACACGGAGCTTGATTTTTTCCTGATTTAACGTCTTCCAAGAGTTAACCAAAAATTGTATCAATATCATCTCTAATAGCTTTCGCTTTCTGCAAATTAATATAGCAATTGTTATCTTTGTTTAAGAAAAAAAAAAAAAAAACAAAAATAAATTAAAGGTGTGAATAAGTACCTGCATCGTTTTATTGTTTGGAAAATATTTTACTATTGGGAAATATTCCGATCTCCTATCTTCACTTGAAAAGATTAATGTAAAATCTTCTACCCATTTGTCTAATCGTTTGAATAGTGGATCATTAATACTATTAGTACGAATTCAGAAAGTTACTTCCAAAATTATATTTAAAGTTGAACGATGAAGGTATGAACGAGGATATAATGGTTCAGGATGTGATAAAGAAGTGGAGGTGTGAATCATATCTAAAAGCATTTCTTTTGTAATTTCATCGATTAATGGACTGTAAGATTCGGTTTTTTGCAGCGAAAGGATTCCAACGCCTATTGTTTTCGATTAAAAAAAAGGGGGGGGTTATCAATTACCGGAAATAAACACGAAGTTTTCAAATTATTTTATAACTGCTTACTTATCGCTTTAGCTTTCTTATAATAATCATTATACGGAGAAAGCCCAATAGCAGCTCCTCTTGTAATAGTACGAAAGTAAACATGAGAATCAAGTCTAGATGAATAAATTGCTCCTCATAAGTAAATAAAAAATTATTAGGGTGATGTCTATCACACTATCACATGACTTTTTGAGGTTATTTTTAATTAAAGACTTACGTTTTTGAATTAATTCTCCAATAACCTTATCACTATTTAAAATAACGAAATTTAATACGCCTATCTTTAATGAGTAAATGTCAGTTTTTAGTTCTCTAGCCCATTTTGTTAACGTCTCGTGTGGTTTGGATCCAAGTAAATAGCTATGACCTGTACATATAAAAAATATTTTCAAAATATTAAACTTCTTTCAATTCAATGCATTACATTTCTGAAAAATTCTACCTACCTAGATAAAATAAAGCCCCACTAGGTGAAGGAAGAGGTTGAAGTCCTTTAGGAATTGAAGGTTTTTTGGTAAAATAATACCATAAACCGAAGAAAATTGCAAGAAAGATATATTTAATCATTTTTGTTTTTTGTCTTTGTTTTTGTTTTATTCTTTTTTTTTTTTTTGAATGGATTGATTTGTTGAGTAAAAATTTTTGAGACTTCATATATATTTTAAAATAATAGTAAACAATCGAAAATGGGAATTCAAAATTAAAGTAAATAATTATTTCGACTTTTATTGTGGATTTCTTGTTTCGGCTTAATTTATGCCAGCCTTGCATGTAATTTAACCGATATTAAATTACTTCAAAAAATTCAAAATTTAATTCGAATAATTTTTAAATGGAAAATTATTAATTATTTACTGCTTTGGGATGTAACAAATATTATTTCTTCGTGCCTCTTTGAGACCCTATCAAGTTAGCAGAAAAGATCCTGTTTCGCACATAACAATTTTTAATAAAAAAGTATGTGATCTGAATGATCTGAAGAATTTTTCTTCACCTTTCCAAATTGGGATAATATGTTAATTGATTGGAAGTTGGTTGGCAAAATTTTGCATTTCCAAATTGAGTTAGGAAAGGAATTTTTTTTTTTTTTTTGCTAAATTTTGAGTTTCAGTTTTTTATTTCAAGATCGAATTGTTGAAGCCATTGCGAAGTTACTTTAATCAAAAGGAAGTGTAATGACTTTGGAAGATTTATCTTTCGCGTATTGAACTGATAAGTATCGAAGATAAATATGTAAGTGTCTGTGAATATTCTCCGAATGATCAAAGGCACTCATAACTTTTAAATTAAATTTTTTTGATTCATTTACGTAATTCCTTTTTTTTTTCTAAAAAAAAAAAAAAAATTGAATAAGTGAAAATTCCAAAACTCAATCATAATTTTACATGCATTAATTATTATTGAGAGTTTGAGGCTAATACCCAATATAGCCATTTATGGTAATTTTAAATAGTGTACTTGTTTTTGAAATTATGTAGGAATACGAGCGCAGTATTTGCATCAAAAATCTTTGACTGATACTCCAAAAGGAATTCAAAGCGATATTGTATTTTATATTTTAAATTATGAATGATAATTTGAAGCATCAAAAATTACTACAGAAATTTTCTCCATCAAAAATTAGATCGATATTTTAATTGCACCAATATTTAAAGAAAAATATCTCATAAAATTAATTATATATCTTTATAAATTGTCTAAAATCAAAATGTTGGAAAGGACCTAAACGCATAAACTAAATTTATGAGCTTTAAGATAAATTTATAAGAAATCAATATATTCGAAACTTGAAATTTTGTACAAATTATAGCTTGTTATGATCCTAATATTTATCTGAAATTATTTTTTAGTTCGTTAGAATAAAATAGTTTTAAACTTAAATATTTTATATTATTAAGATAAATCTTATAAAACCGCATGTATAAAAGTGTGCTTAAAGGATTTTGTATAAAACAAATAATAATTAATGTACAAAATTATTGTTTTTATAATATGCAACTGTTGGTTGATACAATAAATAATAAAGGACCGGTCCCATTAACCGGTCTAAGACCAGGACCTATGTTGTGACTGAAGTTGATTTTCGATCTGAAATTGAGGTTTGCTTAATGCATTTAATCACGTTTAATGGCGGAGATAGGTTGCGCAAAGATCATCAAAAAGTACTCTAAAGTGTATAAAAAAATTTTTATTAAATTGTGTAACCGGTCTCCTTATTTGGGACGGTCCCTCCAGTTTTTCGCTTGTCATTACATATTAGAATTCAAGGATCACATAATCCATCACAATATGTAAATAATACAAATTGTTTCAAATACATAAACGAATACAAAATACAGTATAAAAATGAGCAGATTAAAACAATTTGCTATGCACAGTCACCCTTTAAAAAAATATCACACAAATTATTAATAAGTCCGTGATCGAGATAAACATTCTCCCTCTTACATGAAATGGAGTCGTCGACTTTATATTTGGAAGTATTAACAAACTTTGAACAACTTTTTAAAACCAAGGATAATTATGATGTGATTATACATGCTGGTGAAGAACCAACTCAAGCAATTTATGCACATTCCGTTGTTCTTTGTTGTCAGTCAAATTATTTTCGAGCTGCACTTTCTAAAAATTGGGAAGAAAAGAAGGGATGGAAAATATATTTTTAAGAAACCAAATATTAATCCTCATATCTTTAAAATCATTCTCAGGTAAGAAACAATATTTTATTAAAGTTTTTATATCCATTTTCGAGTAAAAAATTTTATAATAAAGAAAAATAAAATAATGATGATAAATTAAATTACAATAATAGATATTTATATTGTGGACAAATAGATCTAAGCGTTGAGGATGGATCAGATGTTTTAAAATTATTACTTGCTGCCGAAGAATTTGGTCTGATTACACTTGCCGAATATATTCAAGTCTTGATCATTAAAAACACAAAAGAATTATTGCAAACTGATCCTGTTGGAATACTTGTAATTCTTTTTCGACATGAAACCTTTTTAGAATTGAAAGTTCATGGTTTAGAAACCATTTGTCGGAAACCGACTCTCATATTTGAAACTGACAAGATAACAGAATTACCGGCACATATATTGGAATCATTGCTCTTACTAGAATTTCTTGAGTTAAACGAAATTAAAGTATGGAATAATTTGATTAAATGGACGCATGCACAACATCCTGCGATTTGTAATGATGTTGTTGAATTGACAAAAGAAGATTTTATTTTAATGAAAGAAACAATATCAAGATTTATTCCACTAATTCGATTTCATGATATCACTGGAAAAGAATATTTTGAGGAGGTATTACCTTATAAAAGTTTGTTGCCAAAAAAACTAAAGTATGAAATCATGCAATTTTACTTAGTTTCAGATATAAAACAAATAGCCTCTAGATTTGGCAATTTTGATTCTGTTATTGTAAATGCAAGACATCTTGCATTATTTGCAAGTTGGATAAATAGAAAAGTTGAAATTTATAATATCCAAAAAAATCCGTATGAATTTAATCTTATTTTGCGTGGAAGTAAGGATGGATTTGATGCTACCTCATTTCATACAAAATGTGATTACAAAGGTGCAACCATCGTTATCGCAAAAATTAAAGATACGAATCAAATGGTTGGAGGTTATAATCCACTTGATTGGAGTGGAAATATTTCTAAAGCTACAACAGATAGTTATATATTTTTATTTGAAAATTATAAAGATATTGATACGGGTAAAATAGGTAGGGTAATGAAAACAAAAGATGCGATACGTTGTTTCGATTCTCATGGACCTCTTTTTGGTTTTAACATAGGTGGTAGTAATGATATAATGGTAGAAAATGGTAAATGGTAAATGGAGTTCTGTATCAAATTCTTATCAAAACCTTAATATTCCAAGAAATTTTGAAATTGATGACTATGAAGTCTTTCAAATCGTTTTAAAATGAAAATGATCATATCATTTATTTTTAGAATATATATATTATGATTCATGTGGTTCACTAACGCCCGTGATAATGAAATAAACTTTTCTTAGTAATCATTTTATTTTTTCCTTCACTATAAAAAATTAAAAAAATTACACAATTTAGTCTTGCCCTAAGCTTCTAAATAATCTATAATCCATATTTAACATTTAAAACATCTAAAAATTTAGAAATTTAAAAAAAATTTTATTTTATAAAAATAACATAATACAGAAAAGCAATGAAAAATACGTCGATATAATATACCAAATTATCTCAAGGTTTCAAAATTCAAAAAAAAAAAAAGAAATTAATGGATCAATGCAACTAATTCGAAATTATAATATATCTATTACAATTTCTCAAATTATAAATAAATCATTATTTACGTCTGATGTTTTTAAATAGGCATTTTTTAACCATGAATAGTATTACTTTAGTCTATTAGTAAATTATATTCTAAAAATTCAATTATTTATTAATTTTGAATGAATAAATAAATTTAATATGTTTGAATGTAAAATTAATTCATTGTTATAAAATTATCAATACGATTTTCAGATGACGAAATATTGATATTTTCCCGGATAGTAAAAATATCTATGACCCGTATCACGGGCGAACAATTAGTAAAACAGGGGATATTACGTTATATTTTATGATATTTTTTATTTAAAGTAGTATAAAATTCCTTCGATTAAATTACATACAATATTAAATAACTTTGAAGAGTTTACGTTTACGTAGAATTAGCCAAAAAAATCATGTAAATCTTTCCTTTTATAGACAAATTTGATAATGCCGGTCAGGATTTTATTATTTATTATAGCAACTGACTGACATTACCATAATTCCGGCCCTGTAATTTTGCGTACATCTAATAGTAAAATGGCTCCACTTGACCTCCATATATATATTTCGGGGTCCTAGTGTTGGGTATGAGTTGGCTTAGTCATATTTTTGGTTTATTTCGCAATGAGAAATAGAGATAGAAACTTGAGGAAAAAATAGATCTTGTACGTAACATATTTACGATTTGCTCCGAATTGATAGATACACATGTCGCTTTTTTTTTTAAAAAAAAAAAAGCATATCTTATGAAAAGAGTAAGTTTATCAAGGAGTCAAAGAGTCACAGAGTCAGAGTAACTAGCCGCCAATTTTTCTTTTTATTTACAGGTGAACGAAATGTACGCATGTAAATGAAGTTGATGCAGATTTTGCAAAACTTGCGATGGGCATTGTAATTATAATAATATTTTCACGATGAATCTGTGACTCTGTGACGTGACTCTGTAATTTGAAAAAACAAAATTTGCGTGGCTCTTCAATTGGAAACATAGAAATATTACATCTCAAAATCTACAACCTCTATATCCAAACCGTGGCAAGTTGTTCACTTGAACAAAATAAATTTATTTTATAAATTTTAGGTTTCCCTTAAATGTTAATGTTGGTAGAATTTTAATTTATATTACGTAAGCAAATAAATTTGAGGATTTTTTTTTTATGTTTAACCCGCCTTATTACTATGACTAGAGTAATCTGTGGGCGACCTGCCGTCAGCCTGGTGTTTTGAACATTGTAAAGTTAAACTCCACATTCCCTGTAAGGTTTGCGGTAAGCTAACTAGTGCTGAACCTGGTACCTCATTTTTTTCATTCAAAGTATACGAATAATTTAAGCATGCATTTTGATTATAAACAAAAAAGTAACTTTTAATTAAGTTATAGTCCATGGGTCGGATTTGTATAACTTTTTTATTAAAAAAAATTAAATTTAATTTTGTAGGTAACATCCAGCCAAAAAAATTACTAATGTCTGTACACAGCACTTTTACTATAGTCCGTACGCATTTTTGGCTTCTGTCTTTCAAAATTATAATAAAATATGCATTCCAAACATCTGAAAAATTTTTTTTATTAAATAAAAACTTTATATATTGCACGAATTTAAAGAGGTGAAAATAAATAAATAATAATAAAATGAAATTTAAAAAGATAATAAAAAATAAAGTCTAAGAAGGGGTTTGGAGGTACTTGGTACTCCCAGAAAATTTTTTTTACACGTTAGAAACATTGGGTTCCACAACCTTTTTTATTAATTAGTTCGGAGCGTAAGCGAAGGACTATCTATGTACGAGCGATAGTAATGAAAAATGTCCATCCGTCCCCCAGCTCAAAATTTGAGTCGATACGTGGTTAGTCCCTTTCGCTACACTTATGCTCCGGACTTAACAACGGTTTCCAAAACTGTTCCCTAGTTATATAGAATATAATGAAAATGCCTACCGTAATTACTTACGCAATATATGTAAAAGAGTGTGAATATCTTTTAGCGTTATCATGAATTCAGTGTTTAACCTTTATGTCATGATGATGCCAATACATTGTTTTTAGTCAGGTCATGTAAGTTTTATAAGATTAATACTAGTGTCAAAGATTGCTTTATCATTACTATTCTTTATTT